GTTCGTCCTGTTCTGTTTCGTTAGTCAAGTCCTTCACTTGTGTCTGGGTGAATCTGATTTTATATATATATATATATATATATATATATATATATATATATATATATATTAACTTCATTTCATTTTTGTCTATAATATATAATATGTATAGCATATATTTTGATATTAAATACTTTCTATTTATTAGACCAACGTTTAAAACTGCAGTACCGACGTCTCGCACACAATTAAAACTTCAACTCCAACGTGAACAGCAGCAACAGGAACAGCAGCAAATACTAATGCAGCAGCAGCAGCAACAACATATGCTACATACGCAGGACCAAACAATACTTAATGGGTTCGGATTGTCCACGGCAGGCTTTCAATATGACGCAAATAACGGCTGTAATAGAAGCAGCGCCTGCGGCAGCGGTAGCCTGAATCAACATCAGCAACAGAAACAGCAACAGCTGCATCAGAATCAGCATTCAATAACTCAGCCTGGTCAAAAGGATAGGCTACTAGTATCTAGTCCTGTTGCCCTTAAAGTGCCTTTGCAGAGCATAGGCGTGGATGTGCCGCCTCAAGTCCTACAGGTAAATACCTTAGCACTATGACTTAATAATATTTGCAAGCAAGTATGCATCATTAATATAACCATGTGTACCTGAATTTTCATTCATACCGACGGACGGACTAAGTCAATATCTTAGGCATTCTGGACGGGGCTGCCGTACGAGGAGATACCGTGAATTGCGTGTCCATATTTTTTAACACCTCTAATCGATGATGATGATGATGATTTAAAAGAAAATTGACTTTTTAATAAGGAACGTTTATAGTACAAATAATTCATAACTTTTTTTTATCAATAGGTAAGCACCGTTCTAGAAAATCCTACGAGATATCACGTCATCCAGAAGCAAAAGAACCAAGTGAGACAGTATCTCAGTGAATCGCTCAAGCCTTCTATCTGGGAATGCCAAAATTTCAAAGTGAGTGCTATGAACTAGATAATAGTAAAGTAATGCCTTTTACATAGTACTCTATATGCACAGAATAAAACTACAACTAACTCGGCTTCAACAGACAATTTACAATGTTCTTCAGAGGCTAATAACAGAAATGATCAAAAAGAAAGACCAAACAGTTTCGGAGGTGGTGACATTGCTTCGAGTATTATTGGCAAAACCTTAATGCATTCCGAGGACTCAGCGCTTTTGTCGCCGTTTGGTGGAAATTGTAGCTCAAGTTTTTTTGGAAATGATTTGGATGGCCAAAGTGTTAACGATCAGCCAAAAAGTTTTTTTAACAAAACCAATTCAAATGGAAACTCATCTATGACTGGCCGAACCTCGGGAATTATGAACACCATACGCAGCTCCAACATTTCCGGCGCAAGTACGACGAGTCCTTTGCAATCAGTGTCAGCTCCTATGTCGCCAAGCCTAAGTTCTGTGGCAACAAGTGCATCAGAGGTATGTTACATCCGTATAATTAACTATGTGTAACTTAAGGGAAATCGAAAGCTTGTTTTATACTTATTCCCTAAGGTGAAAAGAGTATATTGGTTATGTGCAATTTCTTTTTGGTTGTTCACTTAATAATAAAATATTAAGTGTTACAATTTTCCTGATCCGCCCACTAGGGCCGTAACAAATGAGAAAATGCATTTTCCCGTAAGCCAGAAATCTTACCAGTTGGAAAGCTAAAAAGCTGAAATTCTGGATTTTAGATCCGCATCGACCACCCAAGATCAAAAAGCTAAGGCAGATACTATAAAGCCCATTCACGATGTCATTGAGATCACCGAAACAATTATGTATCTCCGCCAAATATGGGCGTGGAAAAATGAAGATATTGTAAATTTTCTAATTCGGCCTAATTTTTGACACTATTAATGGTAGAGACCTGAAATTTGGAATCTCGGGTTGACAACCTAACACCAAATAGCTATGGCCGAATGACCAAAACACAAATGGCAAATCGAAGAAAACTGCATTGTCTGCAATATTAGAGAATAAATTTCCGTTAGCATCCTCTATTAATTTTGCCTTGCATAACAACTGCGCGTACCAACGAACTTTCGCTGTCGTTTAATTCAAAGCTACATTTTTTTAATAGCTACGACCAAATGCCATTTTTCACCTGTTCTGTTAAAGCCTCTATTTCCGGTCGCATATTCTTGTTGATCGAACAGGGGAACACGTTTAATAACAGCTATAGTTGTCTCTTTCTAGTGACAAAACTGAAACGATTAGTACGAACTGCCAGCTTTACTCAATGCTATTGCGTTAAGACATCCCACAGTTAACAGCGTAATATATATATATTAATAATAATAGTAATTACAATTTTCGTGTCGCGGTGTTTGTTGTTGACGCAACGATCTTACTATATTATTCACTGACGTAATGTACAATAAAGCATTAATTGCTATTGAGAATCTTTGCATTGTCATTGAGAATTTACCAGTATGCTTGACAACAGTGAAAGTTCTCGGTCATGCTCTCATTTTAATAAGTTATTCATGCACATTTTATTAATACGTGAACGTACCTGTAAAGGAAAGACAAATAATGTGCGACTTAATACGATATTACGTCAGTGTTTATCATCAAACAGTTTTTATACCCTGAACCCATTGAAAATGGGAAATTCATGGTATAATATTTTTATGAAAAAGTATGTAACAGGCAGAAGGAATCATCGCAGACCCCATAAAGTATATAT